ATGGGTCTTTTCTTTTTCATTGTCTTTTTTTTTCTTCATCTGTAGCGCCTCTGTGCTAAGGCTCTTGTTCCGACTTATCCTTTTTTTCAAAACAGGCCTGTTCCTGCCTTTGATTACATTAAAGAGTGAAGATGTGGCAGGCTTGCTTAGACCAGGCTCTGAAAGGTAACAATCAGCACGAGAATATGGTAGATTTGAGCGGAAATGGATGGGAACAGCTAAATAGGAGCTGCAGGAACAGTGCTTTCCTTTTCTTTCTGGAAGTCGTTTAATAATCATATGCAACATGTGTGTGCAGTATAGAATATACTGTTTATTTTATGTTTACTGGCTGGTGACAAGCGATTCTTATTCTGACCCAATTTGTCTGTGTTTACAGGATGCAGACTGTTCTGATTTTGTGTGTGTGTTTGTGTGTGTGTGTAGGGGACGTATCATGAAAAACTGGATTTTTCTCTCTTTCTGCTCTTGTGAATAAGAGTTCACATTTATCATTGATTACATTTAATGACATGTCATTAATTCATGCAATACAATTGCCATCCTAACTGATCCATTGATCAGTATTTCATTCAGATCCGTTGAGTTCAGGGTAAATACACTATTGTATAGTTACGAAAAAGTTTGAGGTTAGTAAGAATTTTTTTTTTTAAATAATTATTATTATTCAGCAAGCACACATTAGGCTATGTTCACACTTGCTATCTTTTTTAGAGCTGGCAGTGTCTGTTTTACTATATAATCCTATGGAGTAAACCGTGTTTTTAGAACTGTCCTGAGCGCCTTTTTAAACGCCACTGCCGGTGTCTTTTCTGCAGCTCAGAGCGTCTTTTCAAGTTGAAAAAAAAAACTATGTCAAGTGCCTTTTTGACAGCTGACCAATGACAAGCGAATAGCGAAACCTGTCGGTTCCATAACAACTGGAACAACAAGAAAAAATGGATGCATCATCCAACCGGAGCTCCTGGACTGAATTGTTGTAAGCACCATACTGTTTCCTTCCTCGTATAATGCTGTGCACCAACAAATGTCGTTGTGAACCGACATTCTCCTGTGCACCACACAGCACTAGGCTACTGTTGCAGCTGTTTTATATCAACAAAAGATGCCCTTGGCTGCTATTTGTAACCAAAATGCTACCAGATTTTATTTTACTTGTCAGAAAAAATGCCAAGTGTGAACACGCCCTTAGATTGGTCAAATGTGACTGCAATAACATTATTGACATTACAAAATATTTCTATTTCAAATAAATGGTGTTCTTTTGAACTTTATATTCATCAGAGAAATAAAGTTGCATCATGGTTTCCAAAGAAACTTTCCTCTAAGATACAAGCTGTTGCAGAGTCCAATTTTTCAGTAAATGTCAAGTCAAAGTATTTTGACATGAAGTTGCTTTTTTTGGTTTGATATATAGCATCAATATTGACTCCATGGACATCATGAGCAGAAAAGTTCTTCTGAAAATCTCTGTGCCAGTGTTTTTTTTTCCATCTCATCTCTAACTGTAGTCACAGGCTAATCTGCACCTTTCCAAGTGAGAAATTCTCTGAAGTCCATCTTCTCAACAACTCATTTGCAACAGGAGGTTGAAAGCTCTTTGAGGTTGAATATTCCCATAATGCTCCTCAAGTAATCAGAAACATGCAAGCACCTTTCATTTCCTGTTATGTTATTTGTATATGAGGTCAGTTGTCTATGCTAATTCAGAGAATTTGTACTTGCAGCCTGGATGGTGCCGGTCAAACCCTCTTTAGTTGACTAAATTAAAGAGTTGTCTAGCACCACAGACGTCTGAATTATTTCCATTATTCTACTGTATAAACAAAGAGACACTGTACTGAGCACACAACCTCACGGTGTCCTAATGGCCAAGATATGTGAATAAGAGTAGAATCTCAATCCATATCTGAACTCTGTTTTGGTTATTAAACTGGTTTATCACTGAAAATGATGTATATTTTAATTCAGAATAAGCATTAATCGGTTTTATATTAAACAAACCCCAAATTTTTCATGTTTAAAGGACAGGCAGGCAGAAACTTTATGGCCGCAGATGGTTTTGCATCTGTAGGGGTTAATAGTGCCATATGGGCCGATGATTAGTTAGTCTGTAAATTTGTTGGGTTTAGATGTAGACACAGTGTAACTATTCAACAAGACATAATGGAAGAACCATTAGATCTATGGAGGTCAGGTACCTCATGTGGTTCTGCCTAATAGAGTTCTTAAATCAAAAAGTTTGAGAGCAACAAGGTCTTGCGAAACAATCAGAATCTATTATCCTAATTTAATTTCATCATGTTGTTGTGCTTCATTTCTGTAATGCATTTTTTGGTGATTTATGAAGCAGATCGCCATTAAGACAATATAGAGAATGTTTTATATATTTTACAAATCCCAAATGTAGCGAACCCTCTTTTAGCATGTATTGTTGCCTTTTTTGGGTTATTTCCAGTCTCTGCGGACTCGCAGGCTTTCTTTGCTCAGTTTAATGGCTGTGGAAAGTGGGGTGATTATAGCTGAGGATGACGGTGTAATTTGAGCCATTATGGTGCTCTGTGGATGCTACTAACGATGTACACCGCGAGTGCTAATGAACATGACAGATTACTGTTGCGCCGTGTGTATGATTAGACCTCATGGGTTTTACCTCCACCTACGGTCCAGATTCAGGCTAGAGCATTTGCCATATGCTCAAATTCTGAGTTCGTGGAGGGGTTCTGGAATATTTATGAAGCCTTATGATCTAAAGCATTTTTCACCATCGCTGATTTGTTGGTTTGTGTACTGTGTGGTAACTTTTTTTTTCACTACTATTTTTTTTTGTCTCAGCCATAGTGAGATAAATTGAAGATGCCAACCTCAATATGGACGGTGAAATAATTTCTTATTACAGTTGATTTGGCATGTCAATCAAATGTTGGGGGTAAAATACAATCAACAGGAAATGGAAGTTCTCATATGAATATTTAGAGATAGAGAAAGACTGATATTAAAAATCTGGCCTGTACAGATAAGCCAATAATTAATTTCATGTTATGTCTGATAACTGTTAAATGGCTGGTGTTAAAATTCTATTCTGTTTTGTCTTAATTACATTTGAAAGACTAAAACATTTTACTTTAGTATACTATATTATAAGTGAATTTAGACGTCACAACATTTAATGTACAGTATGAAAAGTGGATGTGCTAAAGATTGCATTTGAAAGAGTTATTAAATTATTAGTGTTTTAAAGATTAACTTTAATTGAGCATTAGATGATAATCTAGCAGAGACAATCTAAATTAAAGATATGAGAAACATGCATTCGCAATTAAATATCAAATACCGATGGTCCTGTTAAAATGAAGTGCTTCAATATCAACCAGTACCCAATATGTTACTGATGTCATGCATCGCTATTTATAGACTACCAAAAATCCAAGTATCTATCTTCAGAACATTTTTGGTGTTGTTGATAATCGGTTTTTAAGTAATGACCCCTGCTCAATATTTTGAGTGATGTGATGGAGCTCAGAATTCCTGGATTGATGGTCTGAGAAAAATGTCTCCAAGTGAAACCAAACTTCTCCACTTTGGTTTTGTCTGTACACTCAAAAATATAGACAAGAGTGAGGCTAGTCACTGGAGAAAGTATCCTCAGTCACAAATGAAGCACACTTGGAATCTGCTATTCAATTGTAAAATTACTGGAAATTACAGAATCTGCCATAGTGCCTTTGCCGTGGATATTTCAAAAGCATAATAAAACCTTAACAGACATCCTAATTCATAATTTTTTTTTCTGTGGTGTTGCACTGATTGTTGCAGCATTGTCAGAGCACTGGCTTTAATGAAAGCTTCTCATATAGAGTAATTGATTGTGATTTAATTATAGAGCCATAGATGAAGATGATTGGAGGAATATGAAAAGAGCAGAATGAGGCCTTTTGTGGTCTGGCTGATGCACACACATCAGTCAAAAGTGGCCCCTGGCATCTGTAACCTCCCCTCTGGGGCCCCAGTGCCACTCAAATGCACCCCATGGCTATGTTTGTGAGGATGTGAGAACAACAGATTTTCTTGCTTTTTTACTCTTTGCTATTGACGAGTACATGTGTGGAACTTCCTATAGTGTGAGTGGTGTCCACCTGTCCCTCATCTAATCCTCGTCCTGTCTTTCTCTTTCAAGCACTCGTTATCTGATCTCATTCTGCTCTTTCATTTTTTTGTTCTTTTCTTGCTCTTTATTCCATTTTGGCCTTTTTTAGGTGTTTTTTTTTTTTTTTAGGTTTTTGTTCTAGACTTTATGTTGGGAAGAAATAAGGACACGATAGTTCAGATTTGAATCTGTATTACCCGAATGTGGACCAGGGCTCAGCATGGCCCCATAGAAAATGTTTGGGATTGGCAAACCCACTCATGTTTAAATACAGTAGTCATCCTTGAAAATATAATGATGGACAGAGCGGTTTGGTGTCTCGTGACTATAAACAAGGCACAGAAAGTGTAATTTCTGGGCCTGTTTTCTGTTTTTGACAAAAGTAATTTTAGCACCTCAAGACATATTAAAGGTTACTGTACTCAAAACGTACCCTCATGTGGATCCAAACCTGTATGACTTTATTTTTTCTGCTGAACACAAAAGAAGATAATTTGAAGAATGTTGATAGCCAAACAGTTTCAGTTCTCAATGGCTTTCATTGTAATTTTTTTGTCCATATAATGGAAGTCACTGGGAGCTAATAATATTTAAAATATCTTCTTTTGATTTCCACAGAAGAAAGTAAGTCATACCGGGTTGGAATGACAAATTATGACATGTTTTTTTTTTTGATTGGACTCAAAGAAAGAGTAACATCAATATTTAGCTTCAATATGTGACACTAACCACTGCATCACAGCTCCAACTTTTTCATTCTGTACTTACTTCCCATTCTCTATTCATCCACTTCCTTCACCCTTTCATGCTGCATTAGTTTTTCCATCACTCCATGTTGTCTCATGTCTCACAGTGTCTCTGCTCTTTGATGAAGATCCTGGCATGGTGGCAGTAGTGATAGCAGAAATTTCACGCTGTTTTTCTTGCTTCTCCGCCTGCGTGTTGACTGAACAGATGGGCTGGCAGTCTTGGATCTCACCTCTCCTCCCTGTGCCCTTTCAACCCCCGCCATCCGCGCACTGGTACCCTGTACCAGGGGTGCCATTATCCCAGAACCTGCCCTGCTCCCCTTACTTTTAAACACTGTTATCCTGCTGGCCTGGAGAGCATGGGCACCAGAAGGCTTTTTCTTGGCCTTTTCTATGTTGGGTACTGAAAGAGA